GGTGGGCATGTCACTCTCCCCACCCAACACCCGACCCCCCCCACACACACACTCAGGAGTCCTATCCCTTCCGCCCCCATTCCGTACAGGTGCCCAGTTTGGAGTTTCGTCCCCTCTGTCTTTCTTAAAAAGCCACATTCTTGTTTCATGTGCTGCTGTTCCGGGGTGGGGGTGGGGTCAGAAGGAGGGGGATAGTACATTCCATTGAGATGAGGCCTTTCCGACATCCCACCACCCCTTCTCCTCTGACCTAAGGGAATTTTCAGACTTCAAAGGCCCTACCCTACGCAAATATCCCCTGGCATTCTGGGCGGTGCCTAAGTCACATTTGTTCCCCCAAACATCTGTGCCCAGTTTTGTTTGGGGGCAGGGCTTTATTTGTGTTTAATGTCTTCAGATGTCTTAAAGCACGAAAGGATGTGGACCTGAGGACTAGGGTTGGAGGACTCAAGGCTCGAGCCCCCGAATTTCTCTTACCTTCTCGCCTCGGCTCTGTCTTCTCAGAAAATAAAAAATGTGTAAGCGAAGTGTTACGTGCGGTTCCTGAGAGTGCACAAAGGATTGTGAAGTTGTGTGTGTACGTGTACATAGTGCCAAAGCAAGCAATTAGTAAATGCTTGCTGATTGATTTGATAGATGTGTGCCTGTGCACCCCCGTGAGCTCTCAAATTCAGCCTTTTATGGCAGTGCATGCACGTTTCCTCCTCCTCATGCTTATTCTCTGAGTTGGGACATTCCGTCTCCCCCCACCCCGCTTTACACAGCCTGGCCTCCTTTCATGGCAAGCTCTATACCTATGTCAGTTGCCTTCTGGGCTCAGTTCAGGTGTGCCACCTTCTTTCAGACCTCTTCTCATTCCCCAGTTGCTACCATCGCTATTTATTTATTCTCTGTTCATCCTGCATTTACTTACCTGTGTGACAGTTGGAAAATTCTTTGTGGGAAACACTGTCTTACTTTTGTCTTGGTATCTCCCGCAGCTAGCAAATAGAAGGCATTTAATAATAAATGCTTCCTGGCTGATTGGTTTGATAGGAGCCACTTGTCCCTCCTGGATGGAGTTTTCCCTTTGAGTTGGAGTTCAGGGAAGAAGAAGATGAGGGTAAGGTAGGGAGGTGAGACACAGTAGGGGGAGACTCAGAAAAGTCTCCTCCTTCCCCCATCACAAAGGGAGAAGTGGAAACCTAACAATGCTATCGCCCAGGCCTTTATCAAGCACGAGGGCTCTGTCCATTGGACCAAAGGTATCTTAAAGAATCCCATTGTCACTGATGTCATCTTTGCCTCTCTCACACACAGGTTTCTCCATTGACGTGCACAATCAAACACAGTACTAAAGCAAAAAAAAAAAAAAGAAAAAAAGAAAAAAAAAAAGATCAGCACATACCAGGTCACAGGCACATCTGTGTGACTGTCTCTGTCTCACCCCATTCCTATACCTAACCCCCACCCCCACTTCTCTACTTTCAGGGCATGAAGTGCCTAGATCCTAAATGATTAAGAAGGACTTTGGGAAGAGGTGTATTACGAAAGAAGGAGTGTATTTCCTCCTTTAAAATGAGGGGATTGGACCAGCTCTGAGGTCCTTCCAGAGCTGTAGTTCCAGGATTATTTGCAGTGCTTCGATTTATATTTCTAAAGGAGCCTGACTAATCGACAGAAGAGCAGGACAATGGGGGCTGAGGGGCAGGAAGGCAGGGGGGCAAGGGACAGAGCTCTGGTGGGGGGTGGTCTAATTGGACACTAAGGGGAGTGCTCATTGCCCTTTATCGGGGGGAAATAGGCGTCAGTATGTCTGCTTAGCCCCTTCCCAGACAGCCTTAACTTCTGCCACCATGCCAGGGCTGAGTGCCAACCCAACAGCTCCTGGAGAAGGGGAGGGGGCAGGATAATTAGGTTGGGAGGGAGAGAGTTCAAGTCTCAGTTCTGATGACCTTCAGCTCAGGTGCAGCCCTCCCAGGATACACATGACCTTGGACCTTCCCATCTTGAAGCCCCCTCCGGTGGTGTTGGGGGGGACCCTTTTTGGTCTAAGCCAGTGTTTCTCAAAACTTTTCCACAGTGATAGAACTCTTCAGTTTAAACACAACTGGCAGAACCTTTGTAGTAAAATCCTCTAAATTATTACTTTAATGCCTATTAACAAACTACCATTCATTAACAACCACAACAACAACCATAGGGTGTTTCAGGGACCCTTCACAGTTTGAAAAACAGTGTTTTAAGCTAAAGGAACCTCCTACTAGTGCCCCAAACCTGCAGGTGCCAGGCTGGGGGTGACGAGCAGAGTGCAAGACAGGCAAGGTTTGTCTTTGGCAGCCTCCCACTTTCCCTGCCCTCCTCTGCTTTCTGGATTCTCTTTCCTCTAATCTGTTGTCTCCTGTTTACATTGTCTTCTGCTTGTCCAAAATTGTTCCAAGCCAACCCCTACCTAGAAGTCTGGCTTCCCTATTAGGATTTAATGTTTCCAAATCACACCCAAATCCCCACCACCTCCTGCTCCATTTATACTAAGTTATGTACAACCCCTAACTCCTCCTCACCCCCACTGGAAGGTATTTGACCCAGAAAAAATGGAGGTTGGGGGTAGAAAGAGGCATAGGGCATAGGCCCCTTTACAAAAGAATGCTGGATTTGGGACCTGAGGATCGGAGTTCAAATCCTGACACTGCCACTGTGTAACCTTGGGTAAGTCACTTCCCTTCTCTGAACCTCGGTTTTCAAATCTGTAAAATGGGGGTAGGGGAGGAAGGACTAGATGATGTCAAAGGGACCTCCAGCTTAAAATCTATGAGCCTATAGATAAGCCTTCTAGGAGCTGTAGAACTTTGATTTTTCAGGCCCTACCCTTGAGAAAGCAGCCATCAGTCAAATCAGAGTCACTGGTACCAGACATTCAGAGAGATGCCATCTCAAAATATATCTGGACAGAACCTGGAGTGTCATGCAAGGGATGAAGCCTGGAGTCAGGAGCTGAACACTGTAAGCCTGATTTTTGCAATACCACCCTCTCTGCTCCCTAGCTCACTCTTGCTCACTGAATGGTTTCCCCCTATTCTCCCATCCAGCAAACATCGTGAACTCTGTGGACAGACTTAAGGTATAGACAGAGCAGAGTCAGGAGAAAGGGGGAAAGGAGAAGGATGAATAGAAGAAAACGGGAGAAAGCAAAGTGAGAAAAAAGAAAGATAAGAGGGGTGGGGTGAGGATGCTATCACCAATGTTTCCAGGTGCTATAGGTTTGACTCAGTCCTGTAATAATCCCAGAGTTCCACTTACCTCCTAGGTTCTAAATCATATTAGGATGAGAGAAGCAGGACACATTTGGACTTGGGAGTTTAAAAGGCAAGGACAGGAGAGGGAGATTTCTTTCACATAAACTGTGCTGGTGTGTATGTGTGTGTGTTGGGGGGGGGGGGGTGGAGATGATGAGAAATAGCCCTGAGCTGCTTAATTTAAAATGTAGATAAACACAAAGAAGAACTTCCTGGATGAGACCTCCGAAAATGTCCTTTCGAAGCATACCTTGCTTAGAGGCTTCGAGTCCTCTTCAAGATTTTTAAGAATGGAGGAAACCAGAGTCTTTCTCTGACCTCAAGGCACAGAAATAGATGGGGTTCTTTCTAGAAGTCCCTTCCTTCTGAGCAATTTCAATAGGTCTACGAGTAAATTCCGCTGCCCCCACCCCTGTCTTTCTCCACCTACTTCTGCCTTCCTTCTCCCTCTTGACGTGCCCCCCTTCCTCGCCCGTGTCCAGCGATAGGGAAGGGATGGAAGTGAAGGGACTGGGGCAGAGACCATGCTCTCCTATAAACAGGCAAGCAGGGTCCAGGGACAACCCTTCACCCTGCTCTCCCCAGCCAAAAAAGAAAAAAAAAAGAAAGAAAAAAAAAAGTCCCTCAGGGCTGGATCTTTCTTTGAAACTTTTGGCTGGACCCCAAAGACTTGGCTTTGAAGGGAAAAGGTGTGGGAGCGTGGAGGGGCCGGCTGAACCTTTGGCCACAACCCCTGCACAGCTGGCTGGGCTCACTCTGGGCTGGATCCAGCTGTGCTGCATAACTTCGCTCGGGGGCGTTCGAGCCTTGGCAACCTGAAAAAGTCCTGGAGTGGGCATCGGCTCGTGCTGACCGGCAGAGGGAGCCCCGGGCCCGACCTGGACGAATGGACTTGGAGGAGGGAAGAAAGGAGAGGGGGAGGAGGAATGGCTGCTTTCCCCAGCTCCAGTGGGCTGGGCTGGGGGTGGGGTGAGGCTCCGGCTCTCAGTCCCCAGACCGCGGGCTGAGCCGGAGCCGGCGCCGCCTGAGGAGGGACCCGGCGGGGGAGGGAGGGCGACGTCTCCAGGGTCCCGTTCCCTCATTATCCCTCTAAGGAGCCCGCCTGACCCCCTCCCCCAAGCCCTGGCTAATTGGCGACATGATAAATGGAAAGCGGCCCGGGGAACAGCTGCTGGGGACGAGGGAGGCCCTAGTGCCGGCCGGGCACCCCCGCACCCCCCGACTCCCCGGAGCCCCCCCTCATCCCACTCCGGCCCAAGTTGGAGAATCTAGTCCCCTCCCTCTCCCCAGACTCGCTGGCTAACTCCATGCGGTCAAGTCCCGTGCGGTCCCCCTTCCATCATCCCGGCCCACAGAGCGCACTAGCCTGGCTTAGAGCTCACTTCATTTCTTTATTTATTATTATTAATAATAATAATCTTTTCTTTCCTTGTCGGTTTGTTTCGTTCTCTTTTAGGAGTGAAAAAAAAAAAGAAAACCTGAGGTGGCCCCCGGCCCGGGAGGGGGGTGGGGTCAGGGCTGCGCTCTGGGGGCCCCTTGGCCAGCAGCGAGTTGTGGAGGATGGCTCCAATTGGCGCTTCCCTCCAGGAGCTCGAGTCCCCGGCAGCCACAAAGCGCTGAATAGCTCTCCCTTCCCCCACCGTTTACAATAGAGATATGTTCGTGTAAAAGAGGGGGAAAACCCGGAAAACAAAACAAAACAAACAAAAAACCAACGAAATTAAATGCCACGAGTTAAACTCTAAATATTATGTACACGGTAATGTACACTTTTGAATAAATTAATACCAATTTGCATATTCTGGGAACCTTAAAGCTTATTTACACAAATTATCATTTATTTCATAAATATCTTCTCCCTCCCCCCCCGGGAGTCAGGGGTGGAGGTGGTAGCTTCCTCCCCGGACTCCCAAGGTTGGGGTGTCCCGCCCTTTGCTGGGAGTAGGTTGATGGGAGGAGACAGGAGCAGCTGTGTCCCCAACTCAGCTCCATCCTCCTTCCTTCGCGGAAGTCTCTGTCTTTACCCTCCATCCCCAGCTCCATTCCCATATCATCCTAACCTCCGTATTCTCTTACTCCTCCCCGACCTGGGATTTTGTATGTTGGGGACCTTCCCGTGACCCCCTCTAGCCTTCCGGGAGCCCAGGGATATAGGGTCTTCATTCCTCCCCCCTTCCCAACACACCCCTAGAAGGGGCACTCCCCGTTATTTAATCCCAAACCAGCACCCAAAGGCTGATGTGAGGATAAGACTCTACATAGACTCTGGATTGACTCCATATTGACTCAGGAGCTCTACTGGATTGAACCCAGGCAGGCTCCAAGTCTATTCCATCCATGTTCGCTGCAGGTTGGGGGTTGAGCTGAAATGCCCCAGCTCGTCTCTCCAGTGCCCACGGCCCAGACTGTACTGGCTAGCTTTCCCATCTCTGGCTGGTGCTGCCCCATCGCTCCTTTATTTAAATAAATACCCATACCGTGCTGTACAAAATCCTGGAGCCACAGGGGTCAGTGGGGGCGGGGTGGGGCTGGGGCATGGGAGGCAGACTGGGGTGGGGTAGGTGGGGGGCTGGCCTAGCCGACACTGATCCTTCATTTCGGCGACTCTCGTCCCGGGGACAGGTCCCTCTGGCTCTCCAACCCGCTCACCAGTCTCTGGATATTCTGTAGTTCGCTGGCGGCCTCTTTGGCTGCGCCTTTGGGGGACAGGGTTCCTCGGTGTGAACCTCCCACCTTAGGTAACGCCAGCTCGGGCAGGGGACTAGGCTCCCGGCTGCTGCCAGCAGCCTTGGAGCCATCAGGAGCCAGACTCGTGGTGAGGAGGTTGGTGCTGGGAGGAATGGTCACAGGGATCTGGTAAGGGCTGAAACGAAGACGAGGCCGGGCACTGCCCAGGAAAGGGCTCCGGGATAGGGAGCCCGCAGCGGCAGCGGCAGCGGCGGCAGCACTGGTGGCTGGCAAGGCTGAGGCAGCGGCTGCGGCAGCTGCCATGTAAGTGTAGGGATATGGAAAGAGCCCACCAAATGTGGGCATCGGGATCCCCTGAAATCAACAAAGAAATAGGTCAATGATTCATTCAACATCAATTCGTTCAACCAACATGAAATCATTACATACTATGTGCAAGGTGACATATGGAACTCAAGAAGGGAAAGAGATAGGCGGTGCCTTTCGGGAATTTTCAGTCTAGATGAGTAGAAGCCACATGTACAAGGTAGCATTTGGTATGTGCCACGTGAGTATATGTGACTGGGAGACCAATAGGATTTCAGAGGGAGGGAGGAAACCACTTCTAGCTGAGGTGATTAAGTAAATCTTCTAGGAGAAGATGGAATTTAATCTGTGCATTGGAAGATGGGTAGACTTTTGATAGGTCAAGATGGGAGGAGGAGAAGGGAATGCCAGGTGAGAGATACAGCGTGCGGGAAGTCTAGAACAGTAGGACATTAGAGCTGTAGAATAGTTTAGATATCATCCAGTCTAAGTGTTCTGAACGAACAAGAGTCCGTGAACTTGGATGGGGAAAAAAATAAATCTTTATTTCCACGAACCCCTAACGGAAATTTAGCATTTCCTTCAACTCTGAATGTAGGAAACAAACCACAATAGTTGTTAGCAACACCTGTATAATTCCCCACTATAAATCACAGATCGTTTCATATCACATTACAATTGTTGCACCTATCTCAAAATGTCATTTATGTTCATCACTACTTCGAAATTACTGGATTTCACACGATCAGTCTGCCTGTTTCCTTTTTCAATATAATCGGTTCCCTTCGTTTTCCTATTAATTTTATTTGAAGTATTAAAAAAAATGATTGTGAGAAGAGATCCAAAGGCTTCTCCAGAATGCCAAAGGGATCTATCACACACATACACACACACACACACACATACACACACACACACACACACACACAGATTAAAGAATTCCTAATCTAATCCAACACCTCATTTTACAGAGGAGGATGTTGAGGCTCAGAGAAATTAAAGTTCTTGCCCACGGTCACAGAGATAGTAAGTGGCAGGGCCTGGATAAGGACCCAGCTCCTCTGACTCCAAGTCCTGGGCTCTTCCTATTGGACCAAGCTGTATATTCAGCCATATATGCCAGATATATGTGTATTTTCTCTTCCTCTCTTTCCTACCCTCACTCTCTCTCCCCACAAAAAAAAAAAAAAAAAAAAAAAAAAAATCCTAGAAGGGGAGAAAGAATCTGTGCATTCAGAAGAGTGGAGGGGGGGATATAAAATCTAATAATCCATTTGCCTAGGCTTCATGAGAATTTGTGCCAGGTGAATGATGCAGAAGGTAAATGGAATACCAATTAGCTCCCGATTATCTAATAGTTAATTACCCACTTCCTATTTAATGTGTACTAAAGGGCTAAAAAACTTCAAACAGTTGCAAGGACAAAGTCTAACACTGACACTGCATTGTATGTTCTCAATCCAAGTAGCTAGGACTTTCCGATTATCTTTCCCTCCCTTCCATTGGTAGGTGGACTGCTTCCCGGGCTGGCAAGGGGAGAGAGAGGTAAAAGAGAAAATCGAATTCCTTGTGCTTCTTTACAAAGCTGGTTATCAAGAGATGAAAAAGAGAAGAAGAGAGAAACTATCAAATTCCTCAAGGGTATGCAAATTTGGCTATACCTAAAAGTAGGGGCTATGAATTGGAATGAAAGTGCTGATTCAAGATCACAAAACAAAACAAAAAAGCAGGGATTTATTGAATACCTAATTTGCCTGGAAGCAAGACTTTCACCTGACCATTAACTCAGTTCTAGAGACCAATCCCCACTGCCCCTCTCCCACCTGGTGTCTATGATACTAAGGCAAGTTATTCTTAGTAAGTATCCTGAGATCAGCACCAACCATACTGTGTGGTTGAGGGCTTGGGGATTATACCATCAAGGAAAGAATTGACTTGGAGTGAAAAGACCTGGGTTTAAATCCGACTAAGACATTCACCAGCTGTATGACTGGGGAAATCTCTGAGCTCTGTTTCCTCATCTGTAAAATGGGAATAATAATTCTCCCTCCACTAATATCACAGTTTTGTGTTTCCCAAATGCTTTAAATATTACTTTTTTAAAATAAATTACTTTTGTTATTGGGCCTATGATTTCATTGGTATAGGGAACTAACTCTCCATGAGGAAATTCTCTTTACCAAAGCAAGTGGACACCTCTTTGGCAACTTAAAAGTCTTAATGAGTTTCCTGGGATCACAGAGAAGTTAGTTGTCCAAGGTCACACAGTCTGTACATGTCAGAAACAGGACTTGAACACAGATATTTATGATGCCAGCTCTCTATCTACTAAGCCATTTTGTCTCTCAAAGTACATATTAATAACAATTATAAAGTCCAAGACCCCATAGCAAACACTTGAAAAGGGATCTCCCCCTCCAACCTAATGCCCCTAAAATACTCATCTAGATTTTCTGAGGATCTCTCCCCCTTGCAGATCTCTAAGATGGGCACAACTCCACTAATACACCGAGCTTTATTTCTTGACTGCTTGGGATATTTTTTTAACTTTGTTCAGAATTACAGCTGGGTGCTTTCCTTAGTGGAGATCTGAACTCCCCACGAGATGGAAAAGGGAGACAGATAAAATGTTGGGCCAAATCTGCCCCAGCCTCTGCTGGACCAGAAGGTGGCAGTAATGAATGAAGGAGATTTGAAAATGCTTCCAAACTGGCCAACACTACCTGACCAGAAATGAGTATCACACCTCCTGCTTTAGATCTGTTCTTAACTTTTCATTAATATAAGGCAAAAGTGGGAGACTTTCAGAAATTTTAGCTGGAGGGGGCTAGAATTTAAATTCAAAGTATTAACGGGCCAGCACCACATAGTAGACACAGAGTTACTCTCAAGACCAGGATTTCTGGGTTTAAATCATGCTTCTGTCAGGTACTAGATGTTAGACCCTGGACAAGTCTTTTAACCTCTCACTGGCCCAGGCTAAGACTACAAATCAGGGAGAAGTTGCTGATATGTAATGGTTATGGAAGCCTTCACTGAGAACTTCCTACTCAAACGAAATCCCAGATATTGTAATACAAAAAATTACACAAACCCAAAAGGAAACTGTGCTGGCTGCCCTTGCTTTAACCCTAAGGGTGTGTGTGTGTTTGGGGGGGTCAGAATTGAAGAAGAGAGATTTCCCTTTCTCCCTTTTCTTTCTATACTGAGATTGGAGGGGCAGACCAGAACACACCAGCAGTTGAGAAAATAAGCAGTTGAGATGGGGGAGAGAATGGGCATGGAGAAGGAACATCTTTGGGTCTCTGTTATTCAGAAAAGAAACACTCAGCTAGCTTCCTCTTCGCTTTGCCTACTGTAGAATAGAAACCTGGTCTATGCCCCACTGTGTGGGAGCGGGGTGGCCTGCCTCTACCCTGAGGCAAACAGCTAAGTGTTAATCCCAGGCACTCGGAAGCCAATTGCAACTCAGACACATACTCCTGTGTTTGGTTTTAGGTAATGTTCCTAACGTCCCTCCCTTTCACGGTGGCAAACTAATCTTAACTAGACAGGCCACCCGATCTAGGAACTGGGAAGAGAGCTACTGGGCTAGAGCAGGCAGGCCTGTTTGCTCTGGAGGCTGAAGAGGCTCTGGTCTCTGCCCCTACAATACTCTCTACGCTGCCTATCGCAAGGCCTTGAAGTTCTAGCCTCCCACACTGCAAAGTAGTTGGCTGGCTGACCCTTAAGGCTCTTTGCAAAGGCCAAGGTTCACTGCTTGTTCCCTTCATCTCAGCCCCCGCCCCCTGCCCCCCCCCCCCCCCCCCCCCCCGCCCAGTTCTGGCCCCAGGCTGGCCTCTCATTTACCTGAGATGCCAGCATGTGCTGTGAGAGGTGGAAAGGAAAGGGGGCAGCAGCTCCAGTCGCTCCGGCCGCCGAGCCCAGACCAGCTCCGCCGTCTAGCCCTGCTGTGGCCGCCCCGGCCCCGCCGCCGCCTCCGCTGCCTCCGCCAGTCACTGAGGCCAGCAGGTGGCCCATGCCCATGGCCGAGAAGGCCCCGGGACCCATGGCGAACTGTCCTGGGTGCAGAAAGAGCGGCTGCCCAGCGCCCAGGGGTCCGAAGAACTGCTGACCATGCAGGTGGCCCGACAGCGCCAGACCCTGCAGGTGGCCTGCGCTGAGAGGCGAGGCGCTGTCCGTTTGTACCACGAGGGGCGCCAAGCCAGCCTCCTTGACCTCGCTGCCCTCCTTCCGCGCCTCATCCTTCCTCCTGCCCTCCGCCTTGTCCTTCTCCAAGCCCCTCAGGCTGAAGGGGCCGTCTAGGCAGCCGCCGCCTTCCCCTGGCTCTTTACCCCGGTCGGGGCTGCGCCTTTCCCGGACACGCTCGGACTCAACCAGGCGCGGGGGACTGGCCGACTCCAGGCCGGGGCTGCGCCCTATTGTGCCCCCAGGTCGCTCATCCCCAAGTCTCTCTGGCTCCGGGTCGCTGTCCGCAGCGCACAGCTTCTCGTCGACTGCAGAGAGGCAGCGGGGACGGGAAAAGGAAGGGAATTGAGGATCAACGAAGCCCAAAGTGTAGATGTGGGGAAAGCGTTCCCTTCTGGAGTTTCTGGGGCTGAGTGGAGTACTCCCGTCTTAGACTTGGGAAGGGAAACCGGGTGTATATGTAGGGGTGTCTTTTCCCAGGCCTCAGAGCTCCTTAGTTCTCCACACCCCAGACATCTCACAAACAAAAGTCACCCTCCCTCCTCTCTACAGTCCTGCCTACCTCCGACGCCACTCGCATAAATACTGCTTTTATTTGTATTCTAAAAGTTCAGTGATCAAGAGCAACATAATGCTAGCATGATAAGCAATCGTATTCCTACTCCTCTCCCCCATCTCGGGACTCCTCTTTAGTTCCCCCTTTTTATCCCTCTGTCCCTCCCTCTCCCCGTTCATACTTGCCATTCTCGACACATGTCCCTCACCTCGAGTGCGATGCAGACGCAGGGGGCTGGGGTCCGTGCCTGGGGAGGAAGGCGGCTCTCGGGCTGGAGGTGGATCGCAGGAGGAGGCATCTGATTCGGCCCCGTCCCTCTCGGGCTTACATTGCTCTTCGTACATTCGAAGGGACGGGAGGGTCAATTGCTTCCTGGGAAGAGGAGGGTGAGTAGGAGGCATTAGAAGTGGAAGCTGGAGGGGAAGGACGGGAGAACCTTCTCTTGGGTTCCTGGCAACAATGCTTGCCCTTACCCCATGGGCAGGGCCCTTAAACTGCAAAACACTAGTCCCTGCAAAGTTCCCATACTCCTCAGAACGGGTTTGGGAACAGGTGAAGGGCCTGGGAACTATCCCCTTGAAGCAATCTCCCAGTCAAAAAGATTGTAGGAGAGTGGCGATTCCCCAAATTATTTCACTCCCTCTCCCCATTTTCTCACCTTTTCTCCCGCCGGCCATTTCCTGTGTCTCGGAAACCTTTTGCAAAGGGATTGTTGTCTATTTTCAGCTGCGTGATCTAAGGAGGGGAGAAGACGGACAAGTGGAATCGTCACGGTGGGGTGGGGACACGGAAGAGTTACTATCCGCCCCTTCGTATGCAACCATAGCCTCCTTGGCTTTCCCCATCTTGTCCCTGACCTTGCTCATTTTAGGAACTACACTTGGAGTGGTGACCCTTCTCGCTCCCCCAAAGTTCTTGTCCCCCAAAGTCTGGTGTTCTTGCCTCCTCCTACTGCGGATTTTGAATACAGAGCATGGGGAAAGAGCTACCTAATTCCAGGGCCCTAAGGATGGGAAGAGGATAGGACCTGAGGTTTTGACCTTCCAGGCCGAGGCCACCCCTAACAATTGGTTAATGGCTGTGGTAAAAGAGGACAATAGAAAATTCTTCTGGCTGCCCTCCCCCCCCAAAGGTGGACAGAGCGGGATTATGGGATCCGGACGAAGAAGTTGAGGCTTGCGATGAGGATGAGAGGTGCTGGGCCTTCCTTAATAACTTAACTCCACTATACCATAAACTTTGTTCTGAAAGCAAATCCTCCCCACCAAATACACACGCCCTTGTGCTCTCTCTTTTGCAGCAGGCAGCTGCCTCTCCCCACTTTTATTGGGGTGAAGGGGCGTCCCACAGAAAACCGTTTAATAGAAAGAAGGTTCTTAAAAAACTTAATAAAAGCAGTCTGAAATCTCCTAGCTCTGTTGCTTTACCTAGACCCAGGCTTCAGATATCCTAACACATCCTCTCCCCGGTGAAAAATTACTTTTATCCTCTTACATCTGCTACCTCCAAAACATCAAGGGTTCCCCGAAATTTTAATGGGCTTAGGAACAGTTAATCAGAAAGTCCCCGGGCAGCTTTTCCGGGGGCCCCCACCCTCACCTGCTCCTAGCAGGTAAGTTTAAATTAGGCCCTGGAGCAAAAATAGGAGTGGGCGATGTCAAAAAAGATCCCTAAATTCTTTGTTAATAACTAGGCAAACAGCTCCACCTGGGAGGGCCCAACTCTTTCTCCCTGCTCTCCACCAAGGAAGACCAAGGGGGAATCGGTACAGGCGTCGGTAAGATAAAGAAAAGAAGAGTGCAACCCTCCGGGCCTCCCGCCCTCCCGAAGGTCCCACCTTGTCGTTCTGGTAGGCGGTGACTGCGATGAAATCGGTCTCCGGGAACACGTAAGTGCGAAATGTACTGTAGGGAAGTTTCAGAATGTCGTTGGCTCTCACAATGTGGAAGCGAGGTTGATACTTGTGCATGGAGTTCAGGATGGTCTGTGGGTGTAGGAGTGCGGAGAAAGGCAGGTTAGGAACGCACTCCTGACCTACCTACCTACTCAACTAGGCAGGCTTCTTGCCAACCACATATTCTCTCCAGTATCCAGTCGGGCTTTCCCCTTCCCTACCCAAGTCTACAGTTAATCCGATACTTCTTCATTGCTGTCCTCTGAGCTGGGGGCTCTGTTCCCGTTTTATTACTATGATTGATTATTATTGTTATTAGCCAGTCACTAAATTACCATTTATTAGGCTCCTACTATGTGCCAGGCACTGTGCTAAGCACTGGGGATACAAAGAAAGGCAAAAAAACAATCCTTATTCTCAAGGAGTTCTCACAACTAATGGGGAAAACAACAGGTAACAACTGTGTACAAACATATAGAGAGGATAAATTGGGAGTAAATTCAGTGGGAAGTCCCTAAGATTAAGGAAAATTGGGAAAGGCTTCTTGCAAACGGTACGACTTCAGCTGAGAGTTGAAAAAAGTCAGGGAAGCCAGGAGGCAGAAAAGAGGAGGGAGAGTATTGTTGTTATTAATTGTTAGCCCTTTAGAAAGGACAGAAAAATGGAGAACGTAACGACCAGCCAAGCTCACGCTCTGTAAGATCATCTCCACCGGTACCCAGAAACCCCTTTCTACTCCGACTCTCTTGTAAACAAATTACCCCAATGATCGGATTCCCCTTCTGCCCTTCAGGACAGGACAGAATGGACAGTCACTCTTTTGCACTCATCTCTTCAGGTGTGAGTGAATTTCCCTTATTTTCCGAAGATGTGGGGCATTTATTTGAATTTAGATGAGCGGAAAGGAGAAAGAAGAGTTAGTTAAAGAAAGCTCCCCACGAAACAAAACCCTTTCTCCTTGGTAGTCTGGGGCGAACCTAGAGATATAAGACTCAATTTAGGGTCGAACTCCAACTGGGGGGAAGCTCATAGGCTTTCCCTAGAGTCACCCAAGGGAAAGTGGGGGCATCTGATTTAGCGAATAAATCCCCACCGAAAGAGACCCTCTCAAGAGGGATTGGGAGCAGTGGGGATATGATACAGGGGCCAGAGTGTGGGAAGACTGGTCGGAGTGAGCAAAAGATAAGCTCCTAGGGCCAGAAAGTTGGGATGTAGGAGTACAGCACCCGAAAGAGTTGCTTTTCTTTCTTCCCAAACAGATTTATAGAAGTGAAGGAGTCTGGGTCCTAAAGGTACCCAACTTTATGCAGGAGAGGAAAGGGGGGAGGAGAGACATTAAAGCCCCCAGTCTCAGATTTCCTCCCCAGTTCCTTCCCCTTCTTGAAACTGATTCCAAGCCCTGGGTATTGGGTTGGATGCAAGGGAGGGGGACGGTAAGGAGACAGAGAAACAGGGAAAAACTCTCAACAGAATACATTTGTCCCATGTTTTGCCTGTCCCTGGCCTTTAGGACATCTCCAGCTTGGTTGGGTGAGAGGCAAGGTCCCAGTCCTTCCTCACCACCCAGTGGAGCCACTAGCCTGGGGACCCCTGAAAGAGTCCAGTGGGAAGTTGAGGCCATGGAAAGAATCATCCATCTCTTAGTCAGAAGGGGAAGGAGCTACCAGGTTGGAATTCAGCAGCTGAGCATGGAGGCATTTCCATTCTCTTCTATTCCGTAGCCCTTCTGTTCCACTTCTGACTGACCCTCTTAGGAATCCCAGTGACCAGAGTTAAGACCCTGGGACCTTGAGATCACTGCCCTAACCCCCAGCCCCTCCTCGGGCCCTGAAAGAATCTCCTGCTTGGAGATCTAATAGACCACACAGTCCTCGGGCCCCCTCTGGCAATGGCCTGCTCCCTGAAGCAACTCGGCTTGGGGAAACAGAGGCCCTACTGTAGACTAAGAAAGCCTGGAGTGGTGTGGCTGCTTCGGGCCCTGTCAGGATCCAGCCCAATCTGGGTTTCTTGCCCAGGAAAAGGACATCTCCAGGCAAAACACAGGCCTCAGATGGAAAGAAAGGGATCTCTTTGCAACTGGTGGTGGGCAACATGCTCTCCCAAGCGGGATCCACTAGATTTCCCGTAATCTAGCAGTGGTTTTAAGTAAAGTTGTAAAGTCCTAGATTCTCAGTCACAAACTTGGGCTGGTCTAGTCTGGGCTTAGGGAGGGTGCCGGGAGCCTGGAGCCTATGCCCTGACTCTTGGTTGCCTGCCTCATTCTCGCCCCCCCCCACCGCCCCCCTCCCCCGCAACACATACACTTAGCCCCGGGCAGGCAGTCTGGAAGAGGGTACTCACGAAGCCATGCTTGTCCGATATGTTGTTGGTAAGCTTGAGTTTATGGAAGGCCACTGGCTTGGCCATCCACTGCTCCCCAGTGGCTGGGCTATCCGGGTGGATGTACATGCGTTTGGGCATCTCGGGATCAGCCTTGCCCGCCACCATCCAGCGTGAATTATGAAACTTGTAGCGACAGTCGTCCGCGGCCACGATGTCCATGAGCAGAATGTACTTGGCCTTCTTGTCCAGCCCGCTGACCCGCACCTTGAACGGGGGGAACATCCGCCTGGGAGGGGGAGGGGGAGACACTAGGACTGGGACGTCGGCTTGGTCCCCTTGGGCCAAGTCTCAGAATCCCCCACCAGGCCTACCCCCATTTCTGCCCCAGCCCCCCAGCATCAAAGACCCCTTCCTCTCTCTCCTCTTCACAAGCCCTGGAAACGATCAAGGCCAAACCCGTTGTCTCACACTAGGTCTACGAAGCTCCCAGGAATGTAGTGATTAATCCTCCCTTTAAAAACATACCAGCTTCTCCCCCAATTATCCGGGCAATTAATTCCAGGACAATACCCGCTTTGGCCCAAATTATCCAGATAAAATCCAGAAGAGTCCCGTTTGGGGAGTTTATGTTGGCAAAAGAAAGAGAAGATGACCTGGGCAATTGGGGAAGAGGCGGGTAGGTTTGGGACCTGAACTAATTCCCCCTTTACTCCCAGTAGAAACCGGGTTTGGGATTTTCTTTTTAGGTCTGAACTCGCTGGATATTTGTAGAAGTTCGAGATTTCCAGTGTCGGGGAAGAGCGCCCTGAGTCTGCCTCAAGTCCTGAGGTGCAAGTCTGAGAGAAGTTGGGGGAGCCCTGGGGTGATGGCTGCAGGATCCGGAGAGGGAACTGGGAAGGAAAGAGGAAGGCTCTAGCCTGAGGAGCTGATTGGAGCTGGCCAGAAGGCTCTGATACGAGTTCAGAGGGCTCTGTCCTGGTCCGGCCAGGCGCCAGAGGCGCCTTTGCCCAGAGGCCCTTTGGCCCGAGTATTCCCCCTTAGGGGAGTCTTAGGGTGGAGGACTAGGCCGTCACCTCCCACTCCCACCCCCAAGTCTATGAAGATAACCCAACCAGGGACCCCCATCCTAGTCCCTTGGCCCAAGTGGAAGAAGTTGAGTTCAGAGAAGCGCCCAAATCTCCCGGGAACAGCGAATAGCCCCTGGAGTTGTGGGAGACAGAGCGGTGAGAGAAGGGGCCGAGTAGGACCAGGAGGAAGAAACCAGAGGCAGTGAGCTCCGACTCCTGGGGCGCACCCCAGCCCTACTGTTGGAAGGATGGGTTCTAGGTTCTCTCAGTGTGCTGGAGGAAGAGGTGAACCCATTCGGAAGTGGCCTCCGGGCGTGTTGAGACTGGAAGGGGATAGTGTTTGGTGGGCTTTGTTACGGTTGTTGTTTCCTTCCTTGTTTGGGCGGTTATTTTCTTTTTATTTTATTCGTTTGGGTTTTTTTCCGATTAAGAAAAAAATTCCCTTCTTCGCTAAACGAAGGGGGGAAAAACCCCACCAAAACCCCAGCGGTTTGTTTCCTTCTTATTTCTAGCGGACAAATTGTCAACTCGTCATCGGAGCAAACGAATAAAATGCCCAAACGGCCCCCGAGGGATAGCCAGAGGAGGCCAGGGGCCGGAGAGGGATAGGCAGAGGCCATCCGGGCTGAGGGGCCAGGAGGACTGAAGCGGGAGCCCAAGGGAGTAGGGGCTCGGCTCGGCTCGGACCCGGGCCAGTCCGGGGGGAATGCTGGGGAGGCAGCGAGAGACTGCTGGGGCGGTTCGGCTTCCCTGTCTCCACAGCATCCTCGGTTCTTCCCCGGAGTAGGGGACGAGAGGCTGGTGAGGCGCGGGGAGAGCCCGCCGAAGAGGGAAGGGAGGCAAGTGGGGGCTGACCCAGGTGCCCGGGGCCGTGCGCGGCCGCGGCCCGCTGAGAGCCCCCTCCCGGCCCGGGGCCCGGCCCCTACCTCCCGGACTTGGTAATGACCATCTCGGTGCCCAGTTTGTGGAACTGGTCCCACAACTCTTTGGCCTCCAGCGTCACCTTGGGGTCGTCCTCCACCTCGTCCTCTGGCTCCAGGCTCTTGAGAGAGCGAAGATGGGCCGCCTGGGGGTGGTGGCCCAGCGCTGAGACGTGCAGCCCCGCCTCGGCCGCGGCTGCCGCGGCAGCCGCCGCCGCCGCCGCTCCGGCCAGGCCCGGGTCAGGCAGGGGCTTGGCGAGTGCCGCGGGCGGCAGCGCCAGCGCCGGGAAGAAGGAAGGCTGAGCTGCGGCCAGGAAGGCGGACATGGGGAAGTCAGCTGGGCGCGGAGGGTGGAAGGGGTGGTATGCCATGACGGTCCCCGCAAACGCCGTATCTCTCATCGGTGCATCCGAAAGGGGTTGGGGGGTGTCGGGGGAGGGGAGGGGGCGCGACCCCGAGAGCTCAACGAGGAGACTGGGGGTGGGGACGACGATCAGTCCTTTGTGCCCGGGACCCCGGGATAGCGCCGGGACGGGCGGAGCCGCCGAGCCGGGGGCTTCCCGCTGAGCTGTGCTAAGCTGAGCCCTCCTCCTCTTCTTCCTCCTCCTCCTCCGGCTGCCGGCTCCTCTCCGGGCTCGGGCCCACCCTCCCGCCGCTGCTCCTCCCTGTTCCCGCGGTCGGGGCCCGGCTCGGGGCTCGGGGGGGGGGGGGGGGCAGCCGAACGGGGGGCTCCGGGCTCCGGGCTGGGGCTGGCCGGCTCCGGCGCGGCGCCGGGGACCACGCGCGAGTGGTTAGATCTTGTCGTGATCTCTGGAAAACTGTGACTATCTCACATGTCCTTCCCTTCTCTGATCCCCCTTCGCTAACGAGCCAGGCCCCCCTTGATTGCTGATTTTACGCTTTTTGGACCAATTGTGGGTCTCCGGGGGCGGGGTTTTGACAGCTCTGGCCAAGCTCTGGCCGGGAAAAGGGGGGCAGGGGAGAAGGTGTCGGAAGCCTCGGCAGTAAGAAAACATGTCAACAGAATAAAATGTTAACCAATGACGAACCGGCGGGGCCCTGAGACCCCACCCCCTGCCCTGGCCCCCACCTCCGGCTCCTCTCTGCACAGCCGCCTTGGCAGGGCAGCGCAGCGCAGCCCAGCCCGGCTCCGGGAGCTGGAGCCCAAGGAGAGGGAGGGACTGAGGGGGTGGGGTGGGGGGAGTCGAGGGCCGAGAGGCAAGGGACAGGGGACATGGGTTGCCAGGGCCCCGCGGCCTTCCGAAATGGAAACCTTTCCTCTCCCAGGCTCAAGTTCAAAGCATTCACACAGGCCAGGGAGAACTTGGGGTCCTGGAGAGGAAAGGGGTGTCCCTCCTCTCCGCGCCCTAGCTGGGTGTGGGGGAACTGTCATCTCATTCAAAGTCTGTCATCCTTCACCTTTTCTCTTACTTTTTTTTTTTGCGGGGGAGGGGGAGACAAGGATAATCACCGATGTTCTCGGGCAGAGGGCTGTCCCCTCGGTTTCCACTCGGGTTCCCCAGGGCGTGGGAAGCTAGGCAATGGCTTAGTGACAGTTTAGAACCAGACGAGGACAGCCGAGATCGATGTACTGTCCCGCGCGGCTTCACTGTCCGAGATCCGCCTCTGCTTCCCCAAGCCTGGGACCCAGGCTGGCCGGAGCATCAGCAAGCACGTCTCCAAGGCCGAGAGCGCTGGGCGCTGAAGGGCTGCAGGCACCACAGGAGCAGAGCTGAGTCTACAACACCCCATCCAAACCAGGTGAGTGGTGCCAGGCTGCGAGCCAAGCTGAGCCCAGCCGGGGAACCCAGCCCCCCGTAATTGCTCAGGGCTAGAGCAGGAGGTTGGGTGAGAGAAAGTACTGGGGTCCCTGGGAAAAAGAGGAGGGGTCTCCAGCTTCAGATCGGGAAAATGAGAGGATGTTCTTGGGGGTGACAGCGGCGGCAAGGAGTCGGGGCAAGCACAAATGGTACAGCAGACTTCTATCCTCCCCATTCCCTTAATATCTCAACCTGAGACAGAAATTTCCCAGGAAACCTCGGGGGCTTCCCAGGCTCTCTCAACTCTCTGAGTAGAACCGGACTCTATCTGGCCATGCCGTCTCCTCCGGCAGGTTATGGTTGAACGCAGTAGCCACACATTATGACTAGTTTTAATTTGCTAGGTTAGTGTACCTTCTAAACGCCGGGCAAACATCTATTCGCCTCATCCGGTGCGGAGTAGACTTTATCAGAGCCGCCTAAATATGGGCACCACGGTGGTGATGGTGGTGGTGGGACTTTCCATGCAGTGTTTATTCCTTAATCTACGTAGTGTTTGGATTTGACGTGGGCCAGAAGAATAGTAAGGTGTGTGTGTGTGTGTGTGTGTGTGTGTGTGTGTGTTTGTGCTTTGCTCACACCCGGGGCAGCCGCAGGTAGGTCAGCGTTAAAGACAGACCAGAGTGTGCGTGTGTTTGTATGTTGATGTCTCCATGTCGTTGTCTGCAGGTCCTGGGCAATAGGTTGTGCCCACCCGTAACTGTCCATAGCTATCCGCCGCTTGTCGGGCACCTGGTTACACACACAAAGGTGGAGTAGAGAACGAATACACCTGGTACAATGGAGTCTCCATTCTTTGTAGTGTGTATCTGCACCTTGGGGGGTAGAATTTGGAAGACAGCGTTGTCTCCATTCCATTTTAAAAAATCCATATTGTTTATGGTCCCTCAGACATGTACTAACACAAAATATAAAGTATTAACACAGATGGAAATATTTTAAAATTCTAAGGTCTATACGTTGTACTTAGTATCAAAGTACCTAGTAATAACAACCTGTCAGGCAGATAATTCTGTCTGTTCCAAGTCCACTAGACTCTTCGAAGTGATGATTTTTTTTTTTTAATGCCCTGTACACTGCATATGTACTTTGTAAACCCAGGCTCAGGCCAAGTACATATGTACAGCTGCACATAGAACATACACAGGTCTGGTAAGGTGCCTAAGGATTCTCATTGGGCTGTACAAACCCTCCCTGGCAGACTAAGACTGAGCATTGTACTCCCTCACACGCAGCTCTCACAGGCAGTCCTGGGAACCCTCCAGCCTCCCAGGATTACAGGCACCCTCTCAATAGCTGCACTGACCTGATGCCTGAAGCCGTGGGGGCTGGATTCGACCCTAGGCCAGGCTCTTTGACTTGACGCCTTCGGTTCTGCCTTTTGCTATCTTCCCCGTGGGTGCTCCCGCCCGCCCAGCAGGCATCCAGTGCAATAATCGCCTTGCCAGGTTCTGTAAAGCCCTGTCTACACCGTGTGCCACCTCTATGTCTGAACCTCCGTGAAAGACACAGGAAGCTAGGGACAGGACGAGCACAAGTGCCTGCGGCCTGAGCAGGATGTGGTCTCTCCTTCAGGGATCTTTTAGGACACCAGGATTAGTGACCAGAGCCTAAGTGCCTGCATCTTCTGCAGGCCAGCTCCTGGACCCCAAATTCTGTGTGTGCACACTTGGGAACTAAAAAAAAAAAACCACATAGAGCCCGGGCTGTTTTGTGTTTCTCCTCAGGGCACTGTCCAGTGGTTGTGTAAGCTCCCCCATCCCGTGCACCCCCTCCCCAGAATTATTCCCAGCTCTTCTTTAAATTATTTTGCTCCCCTAAATCGGCACTCCCGCCCCCAGCCCAGTACACCACCTGTGCTTCTCTCCTTTCCCAGTGGCTGTCAACTTCCCACCTCAAAGTCCTGCTTGCATCTCTCAGGTCACTTTTTAGGGCACACTTGATCCAGCCAGTGCTCTGAGAGAACGCTCTATAGGGAGATCCGACAGGGCATCGAAAACCAGCCCTGGAGAACGACGCGAAATAGCAGACCAGCCCTGGCCAGCCTTGGGTTCTTCGCATCTCTTTCTCCACCTCTGGTTTCCCTGGAGCCCAGGCACTACTTCTGCCCGAATGCAATGAGGGCTGAGAGCTGAGAGTGGGGAGAGGCTGGGAGGAGGGAAAAAACTGCAGACCCGGGTGGGTCCCGGGGGGCAGCGAGTGCATGTCCCTTTAAGAGGCTGGGGCGGGGGTGGCGCAGCTCTTCCTTCATGGGGCTGGGGGGCCCGAAGGGGGGGTAGGGGCGGGGGTGGCTGGCGCCAGGCGGCTGCTACTCCACAACAAAGCTCCGGCCCCTGTCACTTCGCATTTGGCCTGCACCCGCAGAAGGGCGGGGGGACGCGCGTCGAACCCGCCCAGACTGTAGGGACCCCTCCCTTCGGCCCCCTCCTGAGGACTCACACACCAACTCAGGCGCCAAGCCTAGGTGGGATTGGGAGGCGGAGAAGGGGTGGGGGGAGTCAGAGCTTCCTCCATAACTGAATTACTTCCACCATCCCTTTCCCCGAACACCGACGGATCACTGGGTCCATTCCCAGTTCTCCTGGTTCTATGTCCCTTTGCCAGAGAGCTGGAGGCAAAAGATTGACCGAGACACCCAAGTTTCTCGCCCATCAACTGCCTGGGAGGGAGGAAGGCGGCCGAGAGAAAGGCTCTGATGGCCCCAGGGCGAGGGGAGAGGACGAGGGGGCTAAAGAGCTGAGTTCTCCTCGCTTTGCTGGCAAGAGATTGGTCATGCAAGAGGGCGAGTTACGACCTGAGGCTAGGTTCTTGTTTTAAGGAGAGGAAATGCGTTTGTCCCTCTTTCTTCCCTTTCGCAACTCCCTACCCCCACTTCCTTTTCTTATTTCTCGACTTTTAGGGACCGTCTTCCCTGTGAGCCAGAACTCTTCCTTCCCATTCCCGGCACCTAATCGTGAGAGTTCCCAGTTTGCGGATAATCCGCTCTCTTGCCCTTTCTGGTTTAGCGCTTCACCCCCACCCCCACCCCCGAACAACGAAATCGGGCGGAGGGATGGGAAGTCCTATTGCTGACCCTTTCTTTCCTCTACCCAGAACCCAGCGCGGCATTTATCTACCCCTCGAGGGACTGGAGGAGCGTAGGCGGTTAGGGACTCTAGGACAAATGTGTACCCCAGGGCCTCTCTCTGCCGGGTTGAATCCCTCAATGTGATCGCAAATATTTGCTCCTAGATCCCTCCCCACAGCTCCCGTGCTGCTCCCCACCCACCCCGGTTATCCGACTTTCCAGCTATCTCTCTCTTCTAGCCCCTCTGCTTTCCCCTTACTATTTTTAGCCGCAAGCCAAGTTGCCCGAGGCGCCAGCCTCAGGCAGACAGAGCCTAGGGCCCAGCGCTATGGGTGTCTGTCTCTGTCTCTGTCTCTCCTGCTGTCTCTGTGTCTCTGTCCTCGGCAGGGGGAAAGAGGGACACTCAGTGACCCTGGGCACTACAACTGCTGGGTCCTGTCCCGACCACTTAGGCAAATCGTCCGTGATGGCTTTAAAAGCCCCACTCTCAGAAAGGAGCTGGCCGGCCCCTCGTTATCACCCCCAGTACCTTAATTACCTCCGTGAGAAACGGGGAGTGACAGCGGATCCCCAATGCACAGCTCTGAGAGATCCAAAGAAGGCTGCTGCTCGCTACCTGTGGAACCTTCTGGAAGACACTTAATCTCTCTAAATTGCACTATTTGCAAAATAAGGGGGTTGAACTAGACGG